GGTCGAATTGTTCGTTAATAACAAATGCTCAGCCAAATCTATCATTACTAAGCATGTTTCAAAAATGTAACTCGGTTTTGAAGAATGAATTTCTGAATAACCACCAGTAGAATCCTAAATTACTAGCAATATATACTAGATATTGTGCCGTAGGTCAATACTAACCTAAGATTGGGCTAGGTTTCACTATGTCTCTGATAAAATGCTCACTAAATCATGCTCACTACGTAGCAACTTCATATGTAACCCTATATTGAATGCTAGCTAAACACCAAACGAAGAGTCAAATAAAAGCTGTGAACATACTAACCAGGTGTCGTTGGAGTATTAAACAAACTGTCAAATAAATGCTACATTCCCCCTCATCATCTATCACTTATTATGTAAGTAGAAAACAAATGATGCATATCATGTAGCACATACTTGCGGTGAACATATGAAGAAAATACCGACCATCGCAGAATAGTTTACCATTCATATAAGGTTCAATCCAAATTTACAATATTGCCTCATGTTGCAGCAATCTTATCCCATATATTTAACGTTTTGACTGGTGGTGTTGGATTTCCACTACTCACATCAGAGTATACCGTATATCATGAACAGTCAGAAATCCTAAACAGGCTGGAATCATGAAAACCCAAGGACGCTGGGTTTCGGGGTACCCTTTACAGTAGTTACATATAATGAGGAATAGGAGTGTACATTATTTAAAAAGCAACTCGATTTAGAAGCCTGAATCATGAGCAACAACATCTCCTAATCGGTCTTTCTATAACTCTGTTAATAAAGACCTGCTTTACTTATTCAGGCCCGTTTACATCGCTTAAACCCTGATCCTAAACCTCAAGCTCCGCAGATAGCATGCAGTTTCCGTCTACAGGCATGACAATTAAGGACCTTAAAGTATACACGAAAGCACAATAGACGACACAACGTCACACATGGTACAGTACAACAACGCAGCAGGAGACTTCCGGCTTGCAACAGTTTCAGTTACACCGTGCGTGTTCCCCCGCTCCCCACACCCACCGATGGAGGGTCATGAGGGGGGGCGAGCATACATGTATATATATATATATATATGTCTATACCTGTATGTGTGTATGTGTATAGATATGGACATACAATACACTCATAAGTACAGACGTACTTCTTTCGAGATCCCCATATTTACAAGAAACAGTGGCCCAGAAAAGGAAGCCGTTGTGTTAAATGGTCCGAAACCCCCTAAACCCCTAAACCCCCAAACCCTAAAGCCTAAACCCCTCGGACCCGCCGACTTCACTGAAGGAGGAAAGCCGGAATTGCGCGAGTTCTGGCCCGACTCAACAGCCGCAGTGCACGCTTCTAGGGTGACGGCTTAGGCTCTTGGAGTCTTGGAGTTTCGGATTTGGGGCTTTGGGCTTTAGGTTTAGGGTGTATACAGTAACAGGTTTGTGTAAGGTTCAGTTGATGGTTGAAGGTGGGGAGTCCGTTGAGTCAACGAAGACCGAAGGGCCTGTAAGGGGTTTAGGGTTTAGGGCCAGTTTAGGGTTTTGTCAAGGGTGTAGGGCTTAGGGCCAGTTCATGGTTTAGGGTTTAGGGCTCTCCTGTGTGCCAAACTTTGCGGGGAAGAAAGCCACGATGCTACTTGGTTGCACGAAGAGGCCGTTGACAGCTTATTGAGGGTTTAGGGTTTAGGGTTTAGGGTCTAGTGTATCCCAAACCCTAATCCTAGATTCTTCACGTCTTCACACTTGCCGCCTTCAGGAACTTCACTACGAACCCCAAGTTGCTCCACAAAAACCGAGATTCACATGAAGGACAAACCATGAATCCAAAACCTCTAGGACCAACACTTCACCTGGAAAAACGGAGGATAGCTTGCGACTCAGATTTATTTTCCAGGGTTTAGGGTGGAGGGCCGCATCCTGCGCCTAGTTGAGGTGGGGCCCGTAACTGTGCGCAAACTCCAGCTCATCGGTCGGCCCCCAGGCGGAAGGTTCTACAAAACGTACGGCGCGACGGATGACGCTTGAGACCTGGTGTTTCGCACCGGCCAAAGTTTTACGGCAATGCTCGAACGGATTAGGGTTAAGTGATTAAGGGTTCTGAAGTACAACACGTGAAGAATCATCCTGATCGTTCGCGGCCGAAGTCAAAGGCGCTGCTCCCAGCACTGGTCACGGCTTGCTAGCTTAAAAGTCAGCGACATGGCCCAGGTTCCGACTGGAAATCGTTTCAAGGATCATGACAGACAGGGATCAGGATTTAGGGTGGAGGCTTAATATAGGGGCCTTAACAATTCCAATTGGGTTTAGAGTATTTTGTACCATAATTGTTATAAAGAACCCCCAAACCGAGTATAGGTAACTATATAGGCGCCTATATTAGACCCTAAACCCTGAATGGCAGCTAGGGTTTAGGGTTGAGCCAATCTGCTAATGATTCATGTCGTGGTTAGGGCCTCCGAATGCCTTCTACTAAGAAAAAGTGGTGATCCATAGGAGGTGCGGTGCGGCTGCCAAACCCTCGACCCTAAACCCGTAATCCCTACATCCTAAACCCCGAAACCGTAAACCCTAAACCCTTACTTAAACCCTACATCCTACACCCCGAAACCCTAAACCCTAAACCCCAACACCCCAAAGCCCCAAACCCCAAGCTCTCGGATCGAAATCCGAAGCCCTAAACCCTCTGCCCGAACAATGGCTGTGCCTATTATGGGGTTTAGGGTTTAGGGGTCCAGGGTTTAGGGTCTTGTTGCCATGAACTGTACACTCCTTGCTCTTCCTTCATGGTTGGTCACTGTTGTTGCTATGCGCCGTACTTCAACTTCTGCCGCTTCCGAAGATCGCAGAATTTTCAGAGTTGAAGAGCCATTCAGGATCCCTTACCCTGAGGGTTTAGGGTTTAGGGTTTAGGGTTTAGGGTTTAGGGTTTAGGGGTCCATGTACCCAAATAGTATATACTTTGGCCTTACTGTAGTCCCTATATAGGTACTTTGGGGCCAAGGTATATACTATTTGGGCACATGGACCCTTAGGGTTAAAGAACACTCAAAAATCCCGCCAAGATTCCTTACAGAGTCATTCCAGACCCGCTGAAACATTCCCTAAGAGAACCCTTAAGGATCCCTAAACCCTAAACCCTAAAACCCTAAACCCTAAAACCCTAAACCCTCAAACTCTAAACCCTTAAACCCTAAACCCTAAAACCCTAAACCCTCAAACCCTAAACCCTTAAACCCTTAAACCCTTAAAGACTTAAACCATAAACCCTAGACCCTCCAGGAAAACCTGAGCTCTCTGCCCAAGCTCCAGAGATGTCCCCCGCTGGAGCTTGGGTTCCCCAAGCGCTCCGATTGGCCGCAGCCAGGAAGCCCATGGCATTTAGGGTTTTTTTTAAGGGTTTAGGGTGGAGGGTTTAAGGGTTTAGGGTTTAGGGTTTAGGATTTAGGGTTTAAGGTTTTGCTTGGTCCGGACGAACTAGATTAGGCTTTGGAGGGCATGACAATGATATTTTAGCATAGTCAGCAGGACCACAAGGGAACACCGGTAGTAGCTGTACATGTAGGTAGCAACAGGTTTTATACTGCCTTCTTGGAGTTGTATAGAGTTTTGGCAGGGTTTGCAAAGTTTACACGCTTCACCTGGTGTTTGCGATTGTAACTTGGTACAGTCCAGCAGCAAAGGGATCTTCCCGCGAGTCCAAAACCAGTATAGAGGGATATTCGGTTGGAATGGAGGGCATTGGTCTCTCTGGATGTAGGGTACTGGAAGACCCGGGTTTCGGATTCACCCTACACCTTACACCCTAACCCGGATTGGAGAAGTAATTTTGGAGCTCTTGCCGACAACCCTGGATGCCCCGACGCGGGACCGTCAACCCTGAAAACCTGTGACCGTTCATTGATACAGGGGCCTTGATTGAAAGGGGATATCATTGCTGAGTTCAGACCCCGATAGTAAACCCTAAGCCAAAACCCCGGAACCCCATACTCTCGAAGCCTAAACTTTCTGTTCCTAAGCATGTGCGGCTTCAGCGCTGGTCACGGCCAGTCATGGAGCGATCCCCTAGGGCAGAGCGCCGATAGGTTCTTGCCATCCGATTCGGATCATGTAGGATACAGGGATTCGAGGGCGACTGTCGAGTCAAGTTCTTGCGATGGTACTCGGAATGCTGAAGTCCCCATAAACCCTTAGACGAAATCCAAACCCTAAGCCCAAAGCTCTAAACATCTCTAGACGCTAAACCCCAAATCAACTCATGTCTTGTGGTAGTCTTATTTGTCTTCTCCATCTTGACTGCTCTGTTCT